AGAGCTACATGGACAAAATCAACTGAAGTATGCACCACACTACCTCACATACTTGTGCCACACCTTACCCAGCACAGGTAGTCTCTCTCAAACTCATTTTCATGCTGATTTACTATAACTGCTTCTGCATGAAAGTCCATAATTTGTTCCAGATGGAAAGGATTAGTAATGGATCCCCACAAAGTACAGGGAAGGCTAGAAAGGCAGGCATGACTTCCCACTCTTACTCCACCTTCTAAGGGGGGAATGTTCCATCTCCAACTCACAAAGGAGGGTGGGCTCCATAGTATGACTACACCAAATGAGTCCACAGGGGCCCCCAACAGCTCATTGGTACAGAAGTGATCACCTGACCTAAGATGAGCTAACCAGATTCTTTCTTCCAGAAACCTAGAATTGGATCACTGAGAGGAGATGCTGTGAGTATCAAGCTCCAAGATCACAGAAAGTGGGAGGGGAGTCAGCGCTGTGACAAACTGGTCTGCAGAGAGGAGCAGAGCAACAGCAAGAGTGCCCAGGAAGAACTTCAGATATCCCTGACATCTCAGTTGGATCCCTGTGAGGTCCAACTGTACCTCACTTCCTGTCCTGGGGAGCCCCTGAGCTGGATGGTCGTATCTTTACAATACCTCCCAACACCTGTACCAAGCCTGAGGGGAACCCAGAGTGCCTGAGTGCTCCTTGGCCAGACCAATTGAGGGACATAGCAGAGATGTTCTGGAATGTCAGATGGTCAGGTCATTGGAAGAAGGGTAGAGGTTTAAACACTTGCTCTTACTTCCTTCCCTAGAATCATCTCCCAAGTGAAAAACTCTGAAGTTCAGATACCAGAGACAAACCACCATGTCAATTAAAAAAAAAGAATAAAATAAATCATGAAATCATTTCCCCCAGGATGTGCCCTTTCAAGACAACCAGAATTGGAAGGCATCAGGGTACCATGGGCTCCTGTGATGGACTCAGGTCCTGAGTGCCTCAGTGGGTTCATACAGTTTAGCCCAAAGTCCTCCCTGCCTGAACACCTGTCTGTATAGATGAGATTAAAAACGTCACCCATGTTCAGCTAAGCTCCTATCAGGAGTTGGGACTTGATGCCTAGAAAGTAAGGCAGCAGGTGTTAGGGGAAATGCTCACTCTAAAGTCTGGAAATAGTCCCCAAAGGACCACCAAGATCTCCATCAGGAAGGTCTTCTGTTGACTCCAACTGGAAGCCAGTCCTGAGGCTACCAATGGAACACTCAATGTTCTCAGCACTGTAGGCACATGCCAAGATAGGAGTCAGCTTCAGTGACTTTTTCATTCCTTGAATGGGTTGACTTGTGCCTATCTTTTGTTATGACTCCAGTGATTTAGTATTTGTTGAAGCATGGACGTCCTCTTCTCCAGGACTCCTTTTCAAATGTGAAACCGCAAATGGCATCAGACTAGGAGTCATAAGAAGGCTTCCTGGACTGACTCTGTAAATGCCACTTCATCTTTCTCAGCTTGGCACACACATCCCCAGCAGTAACTCTCACCAGGACCAAAGAGCATCCAACATCACTGCAGCAACACCACACACCTGAGCACCCCTGATGACCACATGGTGATCTCAGTTTAGCCTCATCTTAGCCCAACAAAGCACAGTCAAGAAAGATAGGCTTTAATTTACATCAAGGATCAATCTTATCCCCTCTGTACACAGAGTTGAACGGGACGGGCAACTTAGACAGTGGCTACCTAAAATGGGGTGTGGGAGGGCAATAAAGGCACAAAGTGACTGGCTTACAAGTTTTCAAGAGGGAGATTAGGTTCAGAATGTGTGGGTGAAGGTAGACTCGCCACTGAATAGTTTTCATCTTGTCTAGACAGGTCTGGTGAAAGGAGGTAGGGATAAGATTCTTATGGTTCAACAGTAAGTAATAATCATCATGACTAATTGCAATTGTCACAACTGTAAAGGTAGATGTTGTATAACAATAGGAGGGAGTAGTTAATGTTACATTTTAAGAACCAACATTTTAGGACCAACAAGGGAAAAGAGCACAAGCAGAATGTGGGACCCTATCCAGAGAAGTAGCAACACCAGAAATGGAGGCAAAGATGATGACATGGAGAGATAGAGCAGCTGAGGGCTCTAGACTCATAGAAAGAGAAAGACTGAGTGCTGGGGGCCTGGAGGCAGACTTGTAGAATGTGCCCTTTGGTTGTTTCAATAATTATATATTCCTGAGTGTTTTTGTGCACATTAAAATAAATAAATAAAAACAGGGAATAGAAGCAAATATTGTTGAATGATGATACATGGAGGGGATTGTAATCATTGCAATGAAACAAAATACAATAGGATGAGTGTAAAACTGCTGTTCTCTCATGTAAACTATCACTCAATTCACAATAAAAACCTTTAAAAAAGAAGCTTTAAGAGTTAAGCCATCCAAAGTTATATGTTGAAAAACCCCAGAACCATCTTAACTATCTCCCCTTCCACCAGAAATCCAAATTCCCCACACACAGGCCAAGAAAGCAGTTGCCCCTAAGTCGGCCACATACCATCCCTAGTCTCAGGAGGGACCCGAGATGGAAGGTGGACTCAAGCGCTGGAGAAAGAGAGTCCCCTACAGAGCTACCCTAATCTTTCACTCCTAAGAGGTAGGTGACAGAGGTAAAGGCAAGAATGTCTCCCCTGCCCCTCAAGAAAAAAATAAATGTGAATATGGCTGGAAGTAATCTCAAGCAAAGGAATGGAGTCTTGTGGGTTCGGATACACATGAAGGATCTTGGACATTTGAAAATAAACAAGAGAATGTCAAACAGATTCTCAGAGCTTGATGGCAATCATTATCCAACATGCCTAGGCTCTGAAGCCTGAAAGGTAGAGATCAGTCTGGCTTAAAGGGAAGGGAACCCAAACAGACAAATAAGGCCAGGTGATGGTAAATGTGATGACTTAAGAGAAAGGGGGTGGGGATGGGGGGGTGGAAATCATAGAATGAGACTAAGAGAAAATAAGCAAATAAGCTCAGGTTGATTTTTTTTCCCAAGACACAAAGTTGTGATAACCCTTGTAAGAGTCCGCTATGAGACAGGATGGGGAGAGAAAACAGAATTCCTATAGATTCTTCTATCGGAATCCTGGTACAGCGCTGTATGAAAAGCACTCTACTGCTAGGCTGGTTTGAACTGCAAGGTCGGCAGTTCAACCTCACTAGCTGTTCCTCAGAAACCCTATACAGTGTTGCTATTTGTCGGAATCGAATCAGCGGCACTTAACAACAATACACGTGGCCAAGTCAGGGCAGGCCAGCTGACTGAAGATGACAATGCAGGCATGGACTACAAGGTAAACAGACTTTAGAATGAATGCTTCTGCTGGGAAAGGCCTTGTGCCTCCAGCAATCAAGCAAATAAAAATAAAGAACCACTGTGTGTGCCAGGCACCAAGTGAATAAGCCAATTTACCAGTTAAGGGACCAGGAGGCAAAGGCCCAACTCAAGTCCAAGGGTGGTAATGATCAGCTAAAAAGATCCTCACTTAGGGTCACTGTGAAGTGACCTCCAGGCCAGGAAGAAAAAGAAACAGAAAATGGTCAGAGAAGTCCTTTGGCCAAACTAAAAACTAGAATTCTATCTTAAAGACAAAATCTTGAAGGCAGGATCCACACCACATTCTGGAAACTGGGCACCACAGGGCTTAGAGAGAAGTCAGGGGATTGCAATCATGGCAGAGGGGGGATGAACGGGCTGTGTTCAATCAGAGAGGGAATCCAGTGCCAGACTCCATGAGTTCATAGTCCCCATCCCTACCCCCAACACAGCCTCTGGCTCTGAGGTGGGACTAGGTTGCCATGGCCCACCTGACCCAGCCCAGGCTTATCTATTCTGTTTATCGCATCTCTCTTCCCCAAAATGCTGTTGATAAGCAACTCCAGGAAAAAAACATTGTCCTACCACCTCACTCGGCACCTCACTAGACACACAGAAGGTCCCACTAATGGTTTTTAAGACTGTTAAAAGGCAGCTAAAGGAAGTTCAAACACCCCTTCAACTCACAATTCAAAACCCTGACAGCCCTTCAGAATCTGACAAGAGCATATGGTTGTTCTAGGTAGGTAGAGAAAGCAAAAGGAAGAAAAACATAAATTATTAAAAATCAGATCTAAACCTCAGTGTGAAGAAGAATTTTCCAATATGCAAAACTGTCCAGTAATGGAATTGATTGCCTGGGGAGATGGTGGATTCCCTGTTACTGGGGTAGTCAAGTAGAGACTGGAGCCTCGCTTTTAAGGAGCTATAGAAGAGCTTCCTTAGACTAGCTCTGAGGTCCTGTTCAATCCAAGAGTACACAAAATGAAATCTATAGTAGGACAATTACAGCCACATTTGGAAAATTGTGGAGCAGCAGAATTAGCAATTCCCCTCTAAAACTGGAAAAAACAGTTATAGGGTAAGTAAAAACATGACTTTGTTGTAGTTATGTTTTTACTGGACTAAGTGCCGTCGAGTCCATTCCGACTCATAGCAACACTGTTCCGAGGAGCAGCAGCTGGTGGGTTTGAGTTGCCCACCTAGCCGTTTACTGCTTATCTTACAGTGCCACACTTTACACCGTGCTTAATAAGCATCATTACTCCAAGAGGTTAAGTAGACTGACGATAGAAATCGGCTTAGTGGCATGAATAAATAATCTACCCAAGATAGGTTGTCAAAGGGAGTAAGAGATGGCCTTTGGGAATGGTCCAGCCGGCAAAGGCTAACATCACCAGGACACCCATCCCGCCCCTGAACATCCTCACAGCAGCTCCGTCAGAGGCAGTGTAGTGTAAGGAATTGGATTCTGTCAGGTGCTCACCACAAAGCAATGCCCCACACAGAGCCACCCTGAGCAATTCCTGTCAGGTGGGGAGCATGCTGGCCACAGTCAGGGGGATATCCAGGTCTCACTGACCAAACACTGTCCTTCCCTCAGGGTGAGAGATGAGACCCCAGAAAGAACATTCCAGTCATGTTGCATCACTCACAGTCTCGACAGAGCCTGGTTGTTCTGGAACAGCAGTTCTGGTAGCATGTGTAGTTGGTTCCGGTTCAGTCGCCTGAAAAGAGAAAAAAGAGGAGAAGGAAGTCACCTAGACATCCAGGAAACCCAAAGGACTTTTCAAAAAGCCCTGTATACAGTCAGAAAGCCCAAGTTCAAATCCTGACAGGATCCCTGTGCGACCTTAGGGAAACTTTCAACTACAACATGGGAATCCTGCCATCCAGCATTCAGGAGGATACAAGCAGAGGATATGGGAAAGCCTCTCATCAAAACCTGTGGTGAAGTGGGCAGTTAATAAACAGGGCTCCTTCTCCCGCTGCTATTACCCCTTTACATCTGGAAAAACCTTTGTAGTTTATGAGGCACTTATACAAATATTATCTCAGTTTGGATAACTTATTATGCTTGAAAAATGAGCTTTACTCTAATGGGCTAGGATTGGCCACACAGTTCTGATTCTTAATTGCTTTCTTCCACATTTGGCTCTCAAGACTGAGTAATGATTTCATTTTTGCATTGTTGGCTTTGGGTCTTTTTTTAAAATGAAAATAGCTTT